CATTAACTTATCACTGAAGACTAGAAATGACTTTTGATAAACCGGAAGTGGCCAATTATCACCTGGTTTTCAAGCAAAAGTATATAGAAACTACATATTTTTGGAATCAGTGTAAAAGAAATTATTATATGAGACCGGAAGTGACATTTACTTGACCGGAAGTAGCTAATTATCGCTCTTATTTCACTCAGAAGTATATAGAAACCACTTATTTATCGCATCAGGATAAAGAAACTGATGATAAGATGCCAATTTTAACTTTGAGTAAACACGAACTAGCTTTTTTTCAATAAATTTAAAAATTGCTGTGGTAAGACATTCAATTGTTCTCTGAACAATTGGTTTTTAATTTTTATGATTTTTATTCAACATCATATGACTGAAAACCATAATACCAGTCATTTTTATTATGCTGTAGCATTTACTTTGGGAAATATTGAAATTGCATTTATTATTTGCTGTTATGAGACGACCCCCATAATTTGTACTTTCATTGAGAGAGTGATGTTTTTCACTCGTATGTACATTTCTTATGAACTTACTTATCTGTAAAGCTTCCTCAAGTCATATTGGTATAGGGAGTTATAAGTTTTAGGTCCGAACATTTTGTTCGACTACATAATTTGTCGATGAATTCGTTGACAGGCAAGCACCTTGCATAGTTCAGCGCCATATTCATAACGGCACTAAGGCGTTTTGATTGGTCGAACATTTACGGAAGGTCACGATTATTTTATCTTATCGTAAATAATTTTGATTATTATATTCTATATACGGAACAAACATTTCTACAAATATAAAGTTATTTGAGCGTGATTTTGTTTAATTATTTTATAAAAATAAACATTTCATAGCGGCCAAAGTGGGAAAAATCGTTATTGATTTCCATTGGTTAATTGGATAAACTTGCAATTGCGCGGTTGCAAATTGCACGAAAAATGCCAAAAATTGCATTAATTTAAGATACAATTATGAAAACCTCAAAACGCGAGTTTGACGTCGTTCTGGCCAAAGACGTTCAAAACTAGGAGGATATATTCTGTAGAAAGTAAGAATAATGGCATTGTACTTTACTTTTTGTAAAGGTTTTAACATTTAAAGAACACATAATTGTTTAATAACGATTTACGCAAATTCTACCCAAATTTTGAAAATACTTGAGGAAACTAAGAATATTATGTAAATACTATTTTTTTATAATGATGGTTTAAATCTATCTAGAAAAACATAAACCATAGAGATTATGTTACAAATATTTTTCCGGTTTAGAAATTTAGTACGTTGTTATTATTTTTTGCTGATTCACTGTGCCGAGGCCGATTATGCGGTTTCATGTACTTGAACAATTTAAAGCCAATTTAACCCCAATAATCAAACAAAATTTAGAAACATATTTTATTTATGTTACTGGTAAAGGAATCCAGTAAATTTAAAACAAAGACTTTTTACAAAAATTGAGCGTTTTAAGTGGGATTTTCAGACAGTGAGACCCATGAAAATGCACATTACTAGCGAAGGAAACTAGTACAAATTTCCGTAAATTCTTGTTAAAAAAACACAACTTTATTAGTCAATCAATTGGTATTAGAACAAAGTATACAAGTAATTGTAAGTCAAAGATATTATACTTGATAGTAAGATATTAAACATTTGATAGTTTAGAAAAAGGAACATTTGTTAGTAAACAATAATGAACAGATAATTAATTCTTGCCGACTTTTGTCACTTTCTTTGGGTCACAATTTGAGACAATCGTTTTTAGTCAAAGGAAGCTAGAACACAGGTTCAACAGAATTTTACTTGATATTTATTATCTTTACTGAATTTCACATTTTATTGTATAGGTCAAGTTTCGCAAATGATGAGAATTATGATTTTAGTCAGAGGAAACTAATACAAAGTCTCTAATAAAACTTATATCAAAGCTTTCACTGAATCATTGAACTACCAGTTTAGGAAATCTTGTAATAATCAAGTTTGGACAATTTTAGACACTAGTTTTTAGCCAGTGGAAGCTATTACACTGTCTTAAAAAATGTTCCCCTTCATTTTATAGAACATCATATTTTATTAAATTAAGTCTCACTATACTAACTGTGAGGTAAGATGTACTTTTAATACATGAATATATAATATTTTGTCACGTGAGGTCAGATGTACTGTACTTTTGAGAAATAAGTATCTAATATTTTGTCCCATATCTGCTCGTATTCTCAACAAACGAGAGAACATCATAGCAGATATTGTTTTACTCTCTATGAGTATTTATGTAGTATTTGAATCAATCTTTTAAAAGATACCCTAGGCAACTGTCTATAAATTCACTACAAGTGTTACTTAGTATTGATAAGTTTGTAAGTTGTTTTTATTGGTCTTGAGCTTGACTACATTGTGCAATTTTGATCTCAAATATTTTCTACTTTTATGTGTTGTTATAATATATATAATATCAAAATAAAGTATTTGCAACTTCTGAATTGTATGGTATAAATTTGTAATATCAGTCTCAAGAAGACACTTAACGTTCACTATAAATAATTGAATAGTTTAGGCTTGATCCTAAGACAAATAGGAATCACTTCTCGAAAGAGAGGTCTGTTGTCCTTCGTTTAAGATCTAGATAGGGAGTTAGGAAGTTTAGGTTTTCGTTTTGGTTTATATATTTAGAGGTTTCGGTGTATTTGTGTTTCTGCCCTTTTCTCTATTGACACGCTACACTATAATATGCATTGCACAAGGTCGTGTTTTTCTTTGACTGTAAATGACGTCTTATACATTAGAAGATGGATGTTAACTGATTGATATTTAAGTATAAGAAACATAATAATTTTTCATTAGTTGATATGGGCTTGGAACTAGTTTCAGTGACTTTGAGCATGTTGAGTATTTGCAGGTTTGTATTTGTATTTTGTGTTTTTGTTTTTTTTTGTTTTTTGTTCTTCGTATCGATCTGATGACTTTAAGTCCTTTTCAACTGGTTTTTATAGTTTGTTGTTATTTCGTGTTGTTACACCACTGTTCCCGGTTAGAGGAACTGTTTGGAGCCAACACACATGTTTTTAACCCCGCAACATTCTGTATGTCCCTGTCCCAAGCCAGGACCCTGTAGTTCAATGGTTGTCGTTTGTTGCCATATATCATATTTGTTTTTCTTGCATTGTTTTGTACATACATGAGGCCATTAGTTTTCTCGTTTAAATTGTTATACTTTTGTTATTTCGGGGCCTATTAAGCTTACTATGCGGTATTGGTTTTGCTCATTGTTGAAGGCCGTACGGAGACTCGTAGTTGTTAACTTCTACTGATTAGTGCAGTCCTAACCTTTTGTCGGACTGCTGCAGACCAAACCAGACCTGCAGACAGGTCAGTTTGACCAGACCTGTGGACAGGGTAACATGACCAGATCAGATCTGTTAACCTGTTCTGTGGACAAGTCTGCTATTTGACAGACCAGTTATGTGTTAGGTCTGCTTTTTGATCGGTCCTATGGATATATTTTTTTTACTAAATTGATACATGAGTGTGATGATACTTTAATGATATTCATCAATCAAAGCAGTCCTTTGTAAATATAGCTCAACATGCAGACTTCTTATACGTTCAGGTATTTCACATCCAATTTTTTATGGAAATATTCTTTATAAAGCACAAAAATGTCAGTATTCACCTCTGAAGCTAACAAAACCTTTAAATAGACTTATTAAGAAGGGATATAGTTACGATACTGTTGTCAGGTCATTAAAGATTGCATATTTTGGCGTCAATATTGATTCACTTATAGGGTCTTTGCATCGGCACTAAACACATTTATTTAAAAACCAGTTGTTGGCATGACACGGGTTATGTTCTTCTCATATATGTTATGATGGTATGATACTAAACCCCTAACGGGAAGGATTGTGTCTGATATTCATATGATGAAGATATAAACTTTCAATCAGTTTAATTGAAGTCTGGAGCTGGCATGTCAGTTAACTGCTAGAAGGCTGTTGTTATTTATGTATTATTGTCATTTTGTTTTTTTTTTCTTAGGTTACATCTTCTGACATCAGACTCGGACTTCTCTTGAAATGAATTTTAATGTGCGTATTGTTATGCGTTTACTTTTCTACATTGGCTAGAGGTATAGGGGGAGGGTTGAGATCTCATAAACATGTTTAACCCCGCCTCATTTTTGCGCCTGTCCCAAGTCAGGAGCCTCTAGCGTTTGTTAGTCTTGTATTATTTTAATTTTAGTTTCTTGTGTACAATTTGGAGTTAAGTATGGCGTTCATTATCACTGAACTAGTATATATATTTGTTTAGGGGCCAGCTGAAGGACGCATCCGGGTGCTGGAATTTCTCGCTGCATTGAAGACCTGTTCGTGACCTTCTGCTGTTGTCTGTTCTATGGTCGGGTTGTTGTCTCTTTGACACATTCCCCATTTCCATTCTCAATTTTATTTTTACTGTTTACTAGTCAACTTTATATCATGTTAACTTTTTCTTGGAGTAGACCAGACCAAAGTTAAATTTTATAAGAACAGGTCTGGTTCGACAGAGCAGTCCAGATTAAGTCTTCTTTTTAAATTAACATGAATTTTGTCCTAGAACCGATCGGAGCAGTCATAAATCCTGTAACCGCTAAATGTATAGTTTTTTGTCTGTTCCAAGTTAACTTCCACCAGTCATAAAGTCTGGTCATCAAGTGAACTTCATGAACAGGTAAGGACTTTACCCATCTGTATGTCCTTTGGTCTGTCGCGGAAAATTGTTTCTTTGACAATCATACCACATCTTCTTATTGATATTGTTTATACATAAAAACTATTCAACGATGCAAAGATCAATATTTAGCTTATAATCTACAGACGTATGTTTATTTTATAAAAAAATTCAACAGCAAAATTATAGAATTTTCTGTTTTTTGTTTAACTGACAGTTTTTTTAATAGAAAAGACATTCAGTACAAACATACAACCAGAAAGAAGCTAGTTTAAAAAAAATATCTAAATGTTTACCTGTATGGCCTATCACTTGAACTTCTGCCAAACTGAGATAACCTTTACCGCTTCTCAAAATTTTCACATGGCGGCCTGACATTGGACTTTTGCATGTTAACATTATTTCTTGTCCAGTCTTACCAGGTCCTTTAAAATTACTACAAAGTTTCATCTGATGACGATTTTGTCCAACTGTAACCGCTATATTCTTCAGCCGATTACCTGAAACGATATCAATATCAAGAGTCTATATCAATTGTTCAAAAATGGAATTCTTAGACTTCAATCTGTCTGTGCCAATCATCATATCACCGATAGTATTCAATATATCTAGTACTCTTTATAATGAAACACATTTCAGTATCGAACAAGTTTTACTTCAAAACCAACTTTTTTTTTAATTTCGTAAAGTATATTCATCTCATTGGTCATCAACAGGAAGTTTAATACCAGATTCTAAAAAGCTGTATTCGATTATCAGGTTATGATATAGTTGATTTTTCCTTTGTTTTATTTGAAAAATAAATATACCTAGAAAAGGTTCTTGATTGTACAGGTACATTATTCATTATGAAGGCTGAAAACAAAGCAGGCAGTTTTACAATTTAAAAAATAAAAAATAGAAGTCTATATCAAGAAGAACGATCCCATTAGAATAAATTCATTTGCTCTATTTCACAAAAGCAATAGTGGGGTTAATGTCTGTTTTTGGCAAAAAGAAATAAAACTGTTTATGACTTCTTCAAAGCGAAGGCAACGAAAGGGCTAAACTTAGCTTTAAATTAGACTGTGATATCAAATCTTAATATTTTTTTCCCAGTTTAACTCCCATTTAAGGACTATTTCCTGCTGAAAATTACTGACCACACACGTCCACAAAAATGAATTGGTCATAAAAATATAGAAATTGACAAGACACACATCCTAACAGATAATTACGGTGGTTCATGCATGAGGCGAAAGTCGTCAGAGGCAAAATCTGCAAACACTATGAGTTTCATCGTACGATTGCTCATTTGTGTCGTCATATATGACATTATTGCTGTTGTTAAATGTCAGAACTTGTAAAATTTCTATTCATGAGAGATTTAACATTTTTTTCTCTCATCAAATTTATACTTGAATTGCTGACAATAACATGGAATTTAAGATCCAAATATGCCTCTCCCTTAGCAGAAGCGTGTATTTTCACAAATGAAAAATACAATTTTTTTTGCAGTTCTCCATTCATGTTTCTTTTTATGAAACAACTGAAAAGGCAAGAACTTTCAGAAAAGCCTTATAATGCCTGTTTATTGGTGGATTTATGGTTGGTTATTTAACATCCGGTGGAAAATATTTCAGGCGTATTTAGGACGCGTTCAAATAATATTTTAGAGAAATGTTAGTGAGCTAGCTCTAATACCCCTCTCCTTCATATTAAATATTATTTAAGACAGTAATAAAATATATGACCCCATATCGAAGAAAGGTTGTTATTCCATATAGGTGTCAAGACCACCAATACATTCACTTTAATTTGAAACATATGTAAAAGTAGCCCTTCCCTGACAAAGAAAAGTGCTTATAATGTCATTGTTTACCTAAACTAATCAACAAACTTGCAGAAATGAAACTTTTAGTGAAAGAAAAATATATGTATACAATTTTGAGCAAAAATATACTTGTCCGTGAGTTCATTCATGTCCAGTGTACAAAGTAGTACCAATATTGTTGACATCGCAAAGTAGACAATGTCGACACAATATTGTACAACGTTGTCGATATCGTTTCATACTCTTGTCTACATCGTTGACATTGACGATATGGCGAAGCAGACAATGTCGACACGATATTGTACAACATTGTCAATATCGTTTTTATACTCTTGTCTACATCGTTGACATTGACGACATCGCGAAGAAGACAATGTCGACACGATGTTGTACAACGTTGTCGATATCGTTTCATACTCCTGTCTACATCGTTGACATTGACGATATCTCGAGGTAGACAATGTTGACACGATATTGTACAATGTGTCGATATCGTTTCATACTTTTGTCTACATCGTTGACATTGACGATATCGCGAAGTAGACAATGTCAACACGATAGTGTACAACGTTGTCGATATCGTTTCGACATTGCCGATATCGCTAACACATTACTTGTGTTTACATTGTTAATTTTGAATACAACGATGTCAACATGGTGTTGTACTACTTTGTCGATATCCTTTCATCATTTTGTCTCTGCATAGTTGGCATTGCCGACATCGCGAAAAAGACAATGTCAAAACACTGTAAAACAACGTAATCTATAATATCAACATTTCAATGATGATGATGATGATGATGATGATGATGATGATGATGATGATGATGATGATGATGATGATGATGATGATGATGATGATGATGATGATGATGATGATGATGATGATGATGATGATGATGATGATGATGATGATGATGATGATGATGATGATGATGATGATGATGATGATGATGATGATGATGATGATGATGATGATGATGATGATGATGATGATGATGATGATGATGATGATGATGATGATGATGATGATGATGATGATGATGATGATGATGATGATGATGATGATGATGATGATGATGATGATGATGATGATGATGATGATGATGATGATGATGATGATGATGATGATGATGATGATGATGATGATGATGATGATGATGATGATGATGATGATGATGATGATGATGATGATGATGATGATGATGATGATGATGATGATGATGATGATGAGGAGGAGGAGGAGGAGGAGGAGGAGGAGGAGGAGGAGGGGAATAGAGATTTGCAAACATTAAAAAAAAACTGTCCATATAAGTTCTACTATTAAGAACATCGACACTAGCATAATATAAATACATTATTTAAAATTAAAATTGATAAACTTCTTGTCTCTACCTGGTTGGCATTGCCGACATAATAGACGGTGTCGTCACGATGTGGTCAACATCACGATGTGGGCGATGTCAACGATGTAGACAGGAAAAGGGGACGATGTAGACGATGTCGTCACGATGTTGTCAACATCACGATGTCGGCGATGTCAACGATGTAGACAGGAAAGGGCGACGACATCATAGACGGTGTCGTCACGATGTGGTCAACATCACAATGTGGGCGATGTCAACGATGTAGACAGGAAAGAGGGACGATGTAGACGATGTCGTCACGATGTTGTCAACATTGCAATATCAGCGATGTCAACGATGTAGACAGCAAGAAAAACGATGTAGACGATGTCGTCACGATGTTGTCAACATTACGATGTTGTCGATGTCAACGATGTAGACAGGAAAGAGGAACGATGTAGTCAATGTTGTCACGATGTTGTCAACATCACGATGTCGGCGATGTCAACGATGTTGACATGAAAGAGGGACGATGTAGACGATGTCGACACAATGTTGTCAACATCACGATGTCAGCGATGTCAACGATGCAGACAGGAAAGGGGGGCGATGTAGACGATGTCGTAACGATGTTGTCAACATCACGATGTCGGCGATGTCAACGATGTAGACAGAAAAGGTGACTATGTAGACAATGTTGCGAGCAGGTATAAAATCATGAACGAAGTTGACAATATCGGCGATATCGTCACTACATCGTGCACTGGACATACCATGAGTTTGCATTAAAAATTGAAGATTAATGCGCTCCATAGTATACACACATCTTCTTATTTATATCTAAGATTTCCAGAAAACCAGGAGTGATTTTTAGAAGTACTTGACTTCCAAACAGTAGTATTTCATTACAATACTTTAAACATTGGTTAAACATTGGCATGTAGAATGTTGATACAATTCAGGATATACCTTCTATGAAGTTAAATTTAAGGTAAAATATTTAAAAAGCTGTTAAAATTGGAAAATTTGGTTGAATAGATAGAGATTTTACATTGGTGGTCTGACACCTTTATTAGCCAATGAAACGGCTTTTCAAATTTCAGTCTTTTTTTAGTTTCTTGTTCTTGACATTAGACAGAGTGACATTAAAAACAAAATAGATCGTACTTTCATTAAATGTGACTATTTTTCCAAGCAAAGTTATCACAAGGGCTCAGTTAGGAAATTTTTATTCCAAGACAGTATTGTATTTAATTATTTATATCCTGACAAAATCTGTGTGCATCTTATCACTTTATAGCATTTGACTTCTTTCGACAGTCAAAGTTTCTGTAAATGGTTTTAATTTGTTTGAAGGTGTCATTTTCGATGAATCAACACTTTGTTATTATATGATATAATGTTAAGATTTTTTCTGAAGATCATAAAAAGTACTAAACATCAATTTAGATAATACATCTGTAGTTTGATGATTTACCTATTGTCATATAAAGAAATGTCTAAAATAGTGTTGCTTTTAAAAATCTCACAAGTAAACACTCTTACCAAACTCACGTGAAATTATTTGGAATCTTATCACAAATATATTTTTCTGACTCCTTACCACAGCAATTTTTTCTGTTAATAATATTGATCTGTGTTACATTGACTGTTTTTCCCAAATCAACACTCCAATATGCATTGTTTTCGTTCTTTGTGTGTGTAAACGTGCTTTCCTTTCCATCAACTGCTTTTGAAGCAGCATATTTTGAATGCGCTGTTGAACTCTGTGCTGCTTTTTTTCCAAGGGCATAGTTATATCCTGTAGGAAAATTGACAAACATTTACAAATTAACAGATGGATATAAATCTTCCAGTAGATACAATATTCGAGAGTTTGCATTTCCCATCATAATTTCCTTGATAGAGGGTTGTTGCTTACAAGGTAGCTATTCAATCAAGAGTTCTAATTGTTGAAGTTGATAGAAGAGTTGGTTGATCGTCATTAAATATTTGTTTCACAGATGACGACGGATATGTTTCGATTGTCGTAATCATTATCCCATCTTCTTTTCACAGAATGAGACCTACCGAATAAGACTTATCAATGGGTTTGTACTTACATGAGCAACACGATGGGTGCCACATGTATTGCAGGAAATGTCTACCCTTTGGGCAAGAAGAAATGGATGCCTGTAACATATTTGAATTGCTCAAGTTGATATTTTGTGGACGTCGTAGCGTGATTTTTCAGTAGATTTTACCTTTTCCAGTGGATACTTTATCTGCTGATATAAACTGTGGATGTTTTGTGTATATTTAAATGTATTTAGCTATGTCGAAAGACGTGCTTAATGTCAAATCATAAAAAATACTACTTGTTAAGTTTCTAAAAAAAAACCTTGTAAGATTGCTGCTGCTATTTTTGGTATTGGGTGCAATTTTTGTACTCAATGCAACACATATCAAAGAAAAAGAAAAACACTTTTACCTATAACATTAAAAGATTTTTTTTAAATTCTTAGGATATGTTAATTTGAAATATTGCGTCTAGTATTTGAACGATAAGTAACATATTCTTAATTCATGTTTTTATTTCAGGGACCTCAAGGTATAAAATCTTTGAACCAATCACAGATTTCTAAGTTTTCTTGTAACAATGTGCTTTTTCCATGTTTTCTATTACTTGGTTATACACATTAAGGAACTCCAAGGAAAATTCAAATCAGAAAGTCCCTTATAAAATGGCAAAATCAAAAGCTCAAACACACCAAACGAATGGAAAACAACTGTCATATTCCTGACTTGGTACAGGCATTTCCCTATGTAGACAATGGTGAATTAAACCAAGTTTTATAGCTAGCTAAACCTCTCACTTGTATGATAGTTTCATAATTCTTGTAACAAAATAAATAAATTTTACTTGTAACAAATTTAGAGATTTGGTACAGAACATGCCTTATCTTAATCGATGTACACTATACTCTTCATTTTTGTTAATTCTGTCTTCTTATGGATTTTATATTTATTTCTTCCTGATCACTTTAATTTTTGGAAACGCATGCACAATATCGTCGTTTTCAATACAAAATGGCAGAAGTGAAATATATGAATCTATGATAGTAACTAGTATCATACCTTTTGGTTTTGCAGAGATCCCTTTTTTTTGGAGATGGTGGGAGGTGGGGATGGCAACGAGTATTCACTCGGAAGACTGAGCACTCGGGATCACTTTAAATAATCGGATACTGGTTTGCTTTTTAAAAATCTTGAGACATTTCTCCTCACTTTAGTTCCTTTTGAAATATCCCTTTCGTTATACTGATTTATAGATATAAGAAGATGTGGTATGAGTGCCAATGAGACAACTCTCCATCGAAGTCAAAATTTATAAAAGTAAACCATTATAGGTCAAAGTACGGTCTTCAACACGGAGCCTTGGCTCACACAGAACAGCAAGCTATAAAGGGCCCCAAAAATTACTAGTGTAAAACTATTCAAACGGGAAAACCAACGGTCTAATCTATCTAAAAAACGAGAAACGAGAAACGAGAAACACTTATGAACCACATCAACAAACGACAACTACTGAACATCAGATTCCTAACTTAGGACAGATGCAAACGCATGCGGCGGGTTTAAACGTTTTAATGGTACCAAACCTTCACCCTTTTTCTGAAACAATAGTGTAACATCACAACATAGAAAGACACACTATAAAATATCAACTGAAATAGCTTAACTCAATCAAAGGACATATTAGTACCAGTGAACATACACTGAACAAATAAATTTGACCTATGATACAATGTAAATTCAAAATACAGTTTACCTCAAATCTAACGTCTTACATTTAAATTCAGTACTTATTTTTTTAAATTTCAGAATAAAAAAAAAATCTACGCATGGTTGGTGTTAAATTACTTGAATAACTCATTTCAAAATAAATTATAAAAAAGTTTACATAGTATATACTTGATGACAAAGTTATGATCATTGTTGAATGTACTCGTTTTAGCAATCAAATTATGAGTAAAATAGCGATAAATACAATGCTGACTCTCTTTATGAACATCCCATCTCCTTTTATACAATTAATAAACCAATTATGTTTTCAAATTTTACTGATTCAGTGTTTCAGAGTTGCGTTGAATTGTTATTATAAATTTTTAATAAACAAAAATTATTGAAGAAACATTTAAATAATTATGCATAAGTAATTCATACTTATGGAAATTTCAAATGACACGGATAAGTGGAACAATGACACAATTCACCATTAATATTTTATCCAATTACATACATTTTGTAACTGACTGATCGGACCTGGTTACCAAACAAAAATATACGTTTTAATGCGACATTTATCTTGTCATGCTTAAAGATTTTGATGAGCATTTCCTTGTCTATACAAAGATGCCGATAGTCACTTAGTTAAATTCTTGCTTTGAAATACTGGAAACAACTGGTTTCAAGTTTGCAATTTTAAAAGGGTTATTGTTTCTATGTATTTTGTAGTTATCTCCCTTCGCTAACTTTAGAGCGGAAAATGTGAAAAGTATGCCCAAGGGTAAATAACATGCAATTTTTCAACGTTTTTTTGTCTAAAAGACATAAGTGGAAATGTGCTAGCGTGTATGTATTCATGATTGAATAAATATTGATATGATTTTGTAATTAGTATTTTATTTCTTATTTGAATTTACTTTAAAATAAAGATGATTTTATTTCTAATTCATATTTATGTTTTCGTTTTCAAATAGATTAATTACGGACTGTAATTAATTATGAGTTGTACCATTTGTATTTTATATTCACGGACTTTGACGTTTGACTAGTTTCGTCTTGATTGTTACTCACTTCTTCCATTTTGATGGTCATTGTTTTTACGCTTGATTTGACCGCACACTTTCTATTATTTCATTGGTCATATGTCTTTTGGCGGTTTTTTTTCTATTGAAGTCTATAGTTAATTGTGGATTGATGTTCAAACCGAACAGACGTTTCATATATTTTCTTTAGTCTCATACTTTGTATTATTTGTATTGGAGAATTTCCACGATTATTTCAGGTCAGTTTGCTTACTTATCTCTTTAGATATTCTGTCTATATCTTATTTTCATCGTAATTTCATTACCGGATTATTCAGTATTTCACGCACGAGTAACTTTCTATTTCTATTTTGGCATGACTTCGTAGTAAGAATGTGTATCGTGTGATTGGCGAATGAATGTTGTAAATTATTTAAAAGGTTAACGTAACTTTTATCACAGGCACATTATTATTTTACATTTATGTTACATAATTTAAGCCTGGAAATAAATAAGTGTAAAGATAAACGTAATGAATGGCGAATATTTGAGCAGAATGAGTTTGAGAGTAAATGAGTAAAATGTTAACTTGGTAAATACTATTTCAGAGTCTTTATAACATTTTTGTGTCCGATTGATATATTTTAAGTACTATATAATTCTGTGCATAGTAACTATGATTTAGTATTTGTTATACAGGTTTTATGACAGTTCTGCATGTGACGTAGTTATACGTTGAGGCATAACCTTTGTTCCTCATACGAGGTAAGAATGAGTGTTTCAGTTGTAGTTGCTTATTATTTTATTAGCTTAGTTATTTTGCTTTGTTTAGCTTAGCTTAGCTTTATTAGTTAACTGCTTTTTGCTATTTGCTTTACTAATGCATATCTTGCTTAAACTGTTTGTTTATAGTTTTATCGGCTTATTCGTATGTTATAATGTTATTGCTAAATGAGAAACTATATTTCTATTTTGCTTTTTTGACAAGTTAAATTCTGTTTCGAATGTCCTAGGAAGTAATATTTTGATTAGATAAGGTTTAATTGTACATTTTGTTAATTTCTTAAACTGTGACGTATTTTACAGTTAATTGGTTAATTTTTGTAAGTACACACATTACGTAAATTTATCAGATTGATATAATACATGTTTTAAAACAATAAGTTTATATATGTTGTTATTAAATGTAATATTATATTACAGGGTTTCGTTCGATGCTTCATTATAATAAAACTATCCAGAACCCTACATTAGTCTACTATTCATTTACGTCACAGATAGTGCGACTACAGAAATTAATTAATCATTTAATAGAAAGGAGACGTCTGTTTCTTACCAATTTGCTTGAGGCTTATTTAAAGTACAACATAGGAAATGCGTTATTAGCGGTTAACGATCGACAACTGACGACGAAGCCCGGCGAAGCCAATAGATCACATTTGCCCTTTGGATCAGATTGGCTTAAACGGGCTGCTCTTCATAGTTCTTCTTTTACCCGTGACTTTTGTTGAAGATTATTTTGCATTATCTTTTTTTTTCTGTGCATGTTTTGTAGGCTATTTTTTTCTCGGTTTGTCCATTCTTTTTGGCCTTGATGTTTTTCGTCCTTCATCGACTTATGGCCCTTTATGTCTATTCTTTTAAATTTTACAGATTTGTTGTTCCAGAGTTATGGGACTTAAGTGGTCGAAATTAAAAGACATGCTTATTAAGATGCCACCCATTTCCATAAACACTAATATATCCAACTGCTTGACGAGACGGCGTGCCATAGGATATTAATTTAATTTTGAATCTATATTGAATCATAGAAAATTGGGTTGACCCACCTCCATGATTCTGTAATGAGGCGTACTCAATCAATGCTTAAATCCACAACCGTAAACATCGAATAACTGGTGTTTTGTTTTCCAAGTATTTAGAACAATGTGACAATAGTCTATGCTTACTATTGATTTTTTTAAGAAATGGATGCCTGTAAAATATTTTAATTGCTCATTTTTAAAAAATTTTGTTAACCTCGTTTCCGCAGATGTTACTTTTTACATTGGATACTTCATCTGTTGATATATACTGTGAACATTTTGTGTATATTTAGATATATTAAGCTTTGTTGAAAGACGTGCATAATGTTAAATCATTAAAATACAAATTGTTCAGTCTCTAAGAAAACTTGGAAGATTCCAGCTGCTTTTTTAGCTAAATGTGTGCAATTTGTGTACTCGGTGCAATTTGGGTACTGTGACGCTATATTCATCAATTGGATAACGATTTTTTCATTCAGTTTTATAATAAACATGTACTTATGTTGACATTTTTGACGTTGTTACGCTTCATTTGAAAAACCGAGTTACAAAAAAAATGGAAAAAGCACATTGTTAAAAGAAAACCTTGAAATCTTTGATTGATCAAAAGATATCATACCTTGTGGTTTTTCAGATTTTACATGAGTCACTGATATGAAAACATGAACTTAGAAAATGTTATTTATCGTCCAAATACTGGACGCAATATTTCAAACATAACATATTCCAAGGTTCATTGAAAAAACTTTCTTAATGTTCTTTTTCGTTGATGAACGTATCAAAAATGCATTTCTACAAGAGCATTCCCCTTATTCTTGAAACTGAATAAACTAAATTTACTAGTAATAAATAAAGGCATTTGGTAAATATATTTTTTTCTTAATCAATATGCATTAAAGTCTTCTTTGTTGCTAATTCTGTCTGATTATGTATTTTAAAACATTTTGATATCGAACCTTTTTTTATTCTGTAATTTCTTTTAACACCTTAAAAAATAATTTCTTGTTCATAACGCTCTACACGTTAGCTGGCCTTTAAAAAAAACATTTGTTTTGATAACTACATATATCTTACCTTCTGGTTTAGGTTTATTATTTTCCTCTGAAATAAAGTAGAGAATCATTGCGATTATAAAAATAATCTATACCAATATAAATAAATTTGCTCAACAATGAATATGTAATGTTACACATTCTAATATTAAAAAAATATTACAAAAGTATCTTGACAATGGAACAAAATTTTTATGTATTTTCTATTTATTTCTTTTTGCTCATTTCAATTTTTTAACGCATGTACAATATACTAGTTTTCACTGAAATGAAAAAATTAACTAAGAATATGTTAGTTATCGTCCAAATACTGGACGCAATATTTCAAATATCACATTTTCCAAGGTAAATTGTAAAAACTTTTAACGTTATAGGTTTCTTAGTGTTCTTTTTCGTTAATGAACGTATCAAAATAAAGGTATTTTTTTTCTTATTTCATATGCATTATAAGTCTTCTTTGTTGCTAGATCTGTCTTTTTATGTATTTTAAAACATTTAGATATCGAACCTTTTTTTTTTCTGTATTATTCAGATGTAGTGAATACCATTTTGAAGTGGAATTTTCTTCCCAATTGTCAATTAAAGATTACGATAGAATAGAGTAAATGGTAACGGGAAGAAGGGGGAGAGCGTGAAGAAAATAATGTATACAACGTTGGGGTCTTTGATAGCCGACTATACGATATGATTTTTTCTCATTGTTGAAGGCCGTATGGTTGCCTATAATGATTGCTTACGTCCACTTTATTTAAGGTAGCTGGAATGTCTAAATGTTTGACGATAGATTTGTCTCAAATTTCTGTAAAAGACTTCTGGGTCAATGTAATTTCAAATTTCAATATAAAAACTGGGGATCAAGGACCTTGTTTTTTCGAAATAATACATTGAAATTAACGAAATTTTGGTTATTGTATATTGTTTGTTTAAGGGAAGCTTAATTTTTCTTTATCGAAGAAACATTAAACGATAGAATTGGCTGAAATTCGATGAGAGAATTACTTTTCATTAATACTTCTGAAATATAAAATAAAAATAAGGGGTCACGGGTCTTATTTTCTTGAAAAAAAGTTTTAAATATACTTTACGACACTTAATTTTTTGATAGTTCAATCTTTAAATTTCAATTTTTAGTTATTTTGTCGTATATTGAATGATACTTGGTAAATTATTTTTAAAACAAAAAAGCATTTTTGCAACATGAACAGAACGGACGCTCACAAAAATGACATCCGATCTACCTTAAACTGTGGCAGATAGTTGTCTCATTAGCAATTTACTCATTTTTATCTTATGTTAACAAACAAGCAATTCATTTGCAGTATATACAGGCAAAATTCGTATGGCACTACACTAGGTAAACTGCACAGTCACCTTGCATTACACTAGGTGTATTCTATTAAAATTCTTATAAAATTACACAAGGTATATACATTTTTTTTAGCATCATACTGGATGAATACATTCTCATAACATCGCCCTTGGTACATTCTTATAGCGTTAAATTTATAGTATTACACCAGTACATTTATAGCATATCTTTAGCATTACACTTTACATAATGCTATAACATTGCAATATACACAATGCTAAGGCATAACACTGGGAATTATCTGAGCTACGGAAAGTTATATCAAAAACTCCGATCTGTTTTATTTGCTGAACTTCATTTTCGGGTTCTTCTTTTGACCTTGTTACAGCCATAAAAATTCTCAAGACAACTGCAGATGCAGTTTTCTTATTTTTTGGTAGTCGTCCATGTGGATATTTAACAAATAATGGTACAAGAAAGTATTTCCTTTGTTACAGAAACTCCAGCAAACATCATATCATTCTTTGTGGTGTAGTTAAAGAAAAGGGAAAGCGATCGAGACAGGAAATTGGTGAGGATGAAAAGATGCAGAAAATTATATTTACTTTTTTTAAATACAAACATGCAGAAATAAGATTTTAAAAAAGACGTGTATACGCGATCCCAATATTATAACCGGTTATTTAAATATGTATAGAATCATTCGGTCAACGCTGTGTTAATCGGGACAATTTCAAACTCGATATTAGATTCAAAGAAATAAGGAAAACGCAAGCATTTCAAAAAGATTTGGAACCCTGTCTAATTTAGAAAAGTGTTAAAGTCTTTACAGTAACTTTCTTTCACTTGCATTATATTTATTTTACCAACTTGCTTTTTTGTTTGGCAGCAGAAATATCCTAAAAAATAAAAAAATAGAAGATGTGGTGACGTAACAGTAGACATCAATAACGTCGCCGAATATATTTTTATTTTTTCCGCTAAAAATTAAACTTCCACAGGATATAGATTGAAAACTAGCACGGTTGCTAAGGTATTTCTTTGCACCAATGGATTCGTTCATTTAAGAATCGTATATCGATTTTTTTTTTTTAAATTCTGTGGACCAACGAATTAGAAAATTTTGTTACAGTAAAAATATCTGCCGATTTTTTTAATTTTCTATATATTCTTTGTATTTTTGGCGTATCATGCTGTTAATTTCAATAGCTTGTATCGAAAAAACGAAAACGGTTACCTCCTTTTTTTCATTTTATTTTCTGGTGTATTTTTACAAGCAGAATCCATATGTAAAAACTAAAAAAAAAAATGTGGATTAGTTAATTACGTACACTTTGCCTAAAGTCAAAGATTTTGGTTACCTCAAGTGAATAAAAGCATTAACTTGTCAGGATTCTTTCATATATACAAAGATTTAGTTTGGAAGTTTGGCTGTACTTATAGACAACTCAATACAAACGGGATAGTACATCCTAAATTTTACGATTATGTTGATTACCGAGCCAGTAAATTTAGATACGATACGGGTAAACTTATCGATCCTTTAAATTAAATTGTTTTAAAAGGTTAAGTTACCGATACAACACTATAATTAGATCTTTGAATATTGTTTTATTTTGTATAAATATTGATTTAAATAAAAATCAAACAAAAAATTATTGCTATACACATATGTACACTCATGGTCTTACAATCTGTCGATACCTATTGTAACGGGTACAAATTTATTGTTAATTGTATTTAACTATAACTATGTCTTCCTATTCTAAAAAGTTATATTTGTATGCCATTCAATCCTAAATTTCACTGAGAAAAAGATTGAATCAGTGCATGCCTGTTCAGGATTATTTTTATGATTTTTATTCAACATCATATGACTGAAAACCATAATACCAGTCATTATATTATGTTGTAGCATTTACTTTTGGAAATATTGAAATTGCAATTGTTATTTGCTGTTATGAGACGACCCCTATAATTATTACGTTCGTGATACCACTTAATTGCGTAAAAGTTAGAATTAAGTACGGACACTGAACAAGCTGATTGTATTAAATCTGTGAGATACAAGGAAACCGTAGATACATCCGCTGGCAAAAACTTTCTGCTTATTTAAAGTACAACATAGGAAATGCGTTATTAGCGGTTAACGATCGACAACAGACGACGGAGCCCGGCGAAGCCAATAGATCACATTTGCCCTTTGGACCAGATTGGCTTAAACGGGCTGCTCTTCATAGTTCTGCTTTTACCCGTGATTTTTATTGAAGATTATTTTGCACTATCTTTATTTTTCTGTGCATGTTTTGTAGGCTATATTTTTCTCGGTTTGTCCATTCTTTTTGGCCTCGATGTTTTCCGTCCTTCATCGACTTATGGCCCTTTATTGCTATTCTTTTAAGTATTACAGATTTGTTGTTCCAGTGTTATGGGACTTAAGTGGTCGAAATTAAGAGACAAGCTTATTAAGAGGTTACTCATTTTCCATAAACACTAATATATCCATTTGCTGGACGAGACGGCGTGCCATAGGATATTAATTAAATTTTGAATCTATATTGAATCATAGAAAAATTGGGTTGACCCACCTCCATGATTCTGTAATGAGGAGTACTCAATCAATGCTTAAATCCACAACCGTAAAATTCGAATAATTGGTGTTTTGTTTTCCAAGAATTTGGAACAATGTGACCCATAGTCCATGCTTACTATTGATTTTTTAAGAAATGGATGCCTGTAAAATATTTTAATTGCTCATTTTTAAACATCGATTTTTTGTTAACGTCGTTTCCGCAGATGTTACTTTTTACATGGATACTTCATCTGTTGATATATACTGTGAACATTTTGTGTATATTTAGATATATTAAGCTTTGTTGAAAGACGTGCATAATGTCAAATCATTAAAATACAAATTGTTCAGTCTCTAAGAAAACTTGGAAGATTCCAGCTGCTTTTTTAGCTAAATGTGTGCAATTTGTGTACTCGGTGCAATTTGGGTACTGTGACGCTATATTCATCAATTGCATAACGATGTTTTCATTTAGGTTTATAATAAACATGTAATTATGTTGACATTTTTTTCGTTGTTACTCTTCCTTTGAAAAACCGAGTTACATAAAACATGGAAAAAGCACATTGTTACAAGAAAACTTAGAAAACTATGATTGATCAAAAGATACCATACCTTGTGGTTTTTTCAGATTTTACATGAGTCACTGATATGAAAACATGAACTTAGAATATGTTATTTATCGTCCAAATACTGGACGCAATATTTCAAGCATAACATATTCCAAGGTGAATTGAAAAAAGTTTCTTAATGTTCTTTTTCATTGATGAACGTATCAAAAATGCATTTCTACAAGAGCATTCCACTTATTCTTGAAATTGAATAAATTAAATGTACTTGTAATAAATCAAGGCATTTGGTAATTTTTTTTTTCTTAATCGATATGCATTAAAGTCTTCTTTGTTGCTAATTCTGTCTGCTTATGTATTTTAAAACATTGTGATATGGAAAATTTTTTTATTCTGTAATTTCTTTTAAAAACTAAACAAATGATTATTCGTTCATAACGCTCTACACGTTAGCTGGCCTTTTGAAAAACATTTGTTTTGATACTCTACATATATCTTACCTTCTGGTTTAGGTTTTATATTTTCCCCTGGAATAAAGAATCGAATCATTGCGATTATAAAAATAATCTATACAAATATAAATAAATTTGCTCAACAATGAATCTGTAATGTTACACATTTTAATATTAAAAAAATATTACAAAAGTATCTTGACAATTGAACAAAACTTTTATGTATTTTCTATTTTTTTTTTTTTTCTCATTTCAATTTTTTAATGCATGTACAATATAGTCGTTTTCACTGAAATGAAAACATGAAATAAGAATATGTTAGTTATCGTCCAAATACTGGACGCAATATTTCAAATATCACATATTCAAAGGTAAATTGTAAAAACTTTTAACGTTATAGGTTTCTTAATGTTCTTTTTTGTTGATGAACGTATCAAAATAAAGGTATTTTTTTTCTTAATTGATATGCATTAAAGTCTTTTTTGTTGCCAGATCTGTCTTTTTGTGTATTTTAAAACATTTTGATATCAAACCTTTTTTATTTCTGTATCATTCAAATGTAGTGAATACCATTCCCAATTGTTAAGTGAAGTTTATGAAGCAATAGAGTATATGGTAGGAGTAGAAGGTGGAGAGGGTGAAGAAAATAATGTATACAACGTTGGGGACTTTTAGAGCCGACTATACGGTATGGATTTTTCTCATTGTTGAAGGCTGTATGGTTGCCTATAATGATTGCTTACGTCCACTTCATTTAAGGTAGCTGGAATGTCTAAATGTTCGACGATAGATTTGTTTTAAATTTCTGTAAAAGACTTCTGGGTCAATGTTATTTTATATTTCAATATAAAAACTGGGGATCACGGACCTTGTTTTTTCGAAATAAAACATTGAAATTAACGTACTTTTGATCATTTTATATTGTTTATATAAGGGAAACTTATTTTTTTCGTAATCGAGGAAACATTAAACGAGGGAATTGGCTAAAATTCGATGAGAGAATTACTTTTCATTAATACTTCTGGAATATTAAATAAAAATTAGGGGTCACGGGCCTTATTTTCTTGAAGAAATCCCCAAAAGTTTTAAATGTACTTTACGACACTAAATTTTTTGATAGTTCAATCTTTAAATTTCAAGTTTTATGTATTTGTTGTATGTTGAATGATACTTGGCAAAATATTTTTAAAACAAAAAAGTATTTTTGCAACATGAACTGAACGGACGCTCACAAAAATGACACCCGATCTACCTTTTAAAAACTGTGGCAGATAGTTGTCTCTTTTGCAATCATACCACATCTACTCATTTTCACCGTATATTAACAAAAAGCAATTCATTTGCATTATATACAGGCACAATTCGTATGGCACTACACTAGGTAAACTGAACAGTCTCCTTGCATTACACTAAGTACATTCTAATAAAATTACACAAGGTATATACATTTTTTTTAACATCATGCTGGATGAATACATTCTCAAAACATCGCCCTTGGTACATTCTTATAGCATTACATCAGTACATTTATAGCATTACACCAGTACATTTATAGCATATCATTAGCATTACACTTTACACAATGCTATAACATTACAATATACACAATGCTAAGGCATAACACTGGGAATGATCTGTGCGACGGGAAGTTATATCAAAAACTCCGATCTGTTTTATTTGCTGAAATTCATTTGCAGGTTCTTCTTTTGACCTTATTACAGTCATAAAAATTCTGAAGACAATTTGCAGATCTATGCAGTTGTCCTTTTTTTTTTGGGAGTCGTCCATGTGGATATTTAACAAATAATGGTACAAGAAATTATTTCCTTTGTTACAGAAACTCCAGCAAACATCATATCATTCTTTGTGGTGTAGTTAAAGAAAAGGGAAAGCGATCGAGACAGGAAATTGGTGAGGATGAAAAAATGCAGATTTTATTTACTTTTTTTAAATACAAACATGCAGAAATAAGTTTTTAACAAAGACGTGTATACGCGATCCCAATATTATAACCGGTTATTTAAATATGTATAGAATCATTTTGTCAACGCTGTGTTAACCGGGACAATTTCAAACTCGATATTTGGTTCATAGAAATAAGGAAAATGCAAGCATTTCAAAAAGATGGGGAACCCTGTCTAATTAAGAAAAGTTTTAAAGTTTTTACAGTTATTTTCTTTCACTTGCATTATAATTTTTTTGCCAATTAGCTTATTTTTTGGCAGCAGAAATATCCTAAAAAATTCTTCAGTTTATTTTCTTAAAAATTGATAACGCTTAAAAAATTGCAAAAATTAGAAAAATTGGTTATACACACTCACGATTTTGTTAAGACACTGTACGGTATAATAGCGTTATAGAGTAGAAGATGTGGTGACGTTACAGTAGACATCAATAACGTCGCCGAATATTTTTATTTTTTTCCGCTAAAAATCAAACTTCCACAGGATACAGATTGAAAACTAGCACGGTTGCTAAGGACTTTCCTTTCACCAATGGATTCGTCGTTCATTTTAGAATCGTATATCGATTTTTTTTTTAAATTATGTGGACCAACGAATTAGAAAATCTTGTTAAAGTAAAAATATCCGCCGATTTTTTATGATTTTCCCTATATATCCTTTGTATTTTTGGCGTATCATGCTGTTAATTTCAAAAGCTTTTATCTAGAAAACAAAAACGATTTTTAATTTTATTTTCTTGTGTATTTTTACAAGCAGAATCCATATGTAAATTTTTTTTAAAAATCTGTGGATTAGTTAATTACGTTCACTTCGCCAAAGTGAAGGAGTTTGGTTACCTCAAGTGACTAAAAGCATTTACTGGTCAGGATTTTTTCATATATACAAAGATTTGGTTTGGAAGTTTGGCTGTACTTATAGACAACTTATTACAAACGGGATAGCGCATTCTAAATTTTACGATTATGTTGTTTACCGAGCCAGTAAATTTAGATACGATACGAGTAAACTTATCGATCCTTTAAATTAACTTGTTTTAAAAGGTTAAATTGCCGATACAACACTGTAATTAGATCTTTGAATATAGTTTTATTTTGTATAAATATTGATTTAGATAAACATCAAACAACAAATTATTGCTATACACATATGTACACTCACGGACTTACAATCTGTCGATACCTATTGTGACGGGTACAAATTTGTTGTTAATTGTATTTAACTATAACTATGTCTTCCTATTCTAAAAAGTTATATTTGTATGCCATTCATTCCTAAATTTCACTGAGATAAAGATGGAATCAGTGCATGCCTGTTCATTATTATTTTTATGATTTTTATTCAACATCATATGACTGAAATAAAGGCAACAGTAGTATACTTCTATTCGAAATTCATAAATCGATTGAGAAAAAAACAAATCCGGGTTACAAACTTAAACTGAGAGAAACACATGAAATGTAAGAGGAGAACAACGACACAACAGAAACTCAGCACTAAAATGCAACACACACAGAAACGAATTATAATATAACAATGGCCATTTTCCTGACTTGGCACAGGACATTTTAAGAAAAAATGATGGATTGAACCTGGTTTTGTGGCTAGCCAAACCTCCCGCTTTTATGGCAATGTTAAATATAACATTAAAATGACAAGATTACATGACAGGACTACAATACAAATCAATGGGAGAACATACAGGACATAGACACACACAAAAAATAGCTATCAAAAGGTACAAGGCTTATAATTTAATACGCCAGACGCGCGTTTTGTCTACATAAGACCCACCAGTGACGCTCAGATCAAAAAAGTTCGAAAGCCAAAACAAGTACAATTTTGAAGAGCATTCAGGACAAAAAGTTTCAAAAAGTTGTGCCAAATACGGCACAGGTTATATGCCTGGGATAAGAAAATCCTTAGGATTTAGAATAATTCATACTTTTGCAAACAGTAAAATAAAAATGACTACATAATAGATATACATGCTAACACCGATGTGTTGACTAACTACAGAATAAACCCGAATACATAAAACAACCTAAATCAGCACATAAAAAAGGCACAGCCGAACAACGTATTATATGTTAGCCGAAGAAATCGACGCACAATGTGACGTCACATTTAAATTTCTATAAATTTCCATAAATAGGATAGAGTTCAAGATTAGGTTTGTAATACTGATATAACATGTATCATAACAATGAAAATAACAATACTTATTATTATAAAATTGTGGTAGTAATTAGATAATTAATTGTATTATCAAGCTATGTCGGTATTTCTTCTAAATCAAACTGTAATTCAAATACATCGTATACATTTAGCTGACCAAAACTAAAATCTTATAAATGAACTGAGTGATTAATTATCATAATACCATAATACCAGTCATTTTTATTATGTTGTAGCATTTACTTTGGGAAATATTGAAATTGCAATTGTTATTTGCTGTTATGAGACGACCCCCGTAATTATTACTTTCATTGAACGAGTGATGTTTTTCACTCGTATGTACATTTTTTACGAACTTACTTTTTTGTAAAGCTTCCTCAAGTCATATTGGTATAGGGAGTTACAAGTTTTAAGTCAGAACATTTTGTTCGACTACATATTTGTCGATGAATTCGTTGACTGGCAAGCACCTTGCATAGTTATGCGCCATATTCATAACGGTACTAAAGCGTTTTGATTGGTTTAACATTTACGGAAAGTCACGATTATTTTTAGCTTATCGTAAATAATTTTGATGATTATTATATTCTACATAACGGAACGAACATTTCAACAAATATGAAGTTATTTAAGCGTCATTTTGTACAATTATTTTATAAAAATAAACATTTCATAGCGGTCAAAGAGGGACAAATCGTTAATGATTTCCATTGGTTTATTGGATAAACTTGCAATTGCGTGGTTGAAAATTGCACGAAAACTGCCAAAAAACTGCACTGATTTTAAGTACAATTATTAAAACCCCAAAACGCGAGTTTGACGTCATTCTGGCCAAAGACGTTCAAAACTAGGAACATTTAAAGAATACATAATTGTTTAAAAACGATTTACGCAAATTCTACCCACATTTTGAAGACACTTGAGGAAACTAGCAAT